TTGGGGCACAGAGCTCCATTGTTCCAGGCACAGAAATCTGTGCACCGAGCACCAAAGACACTTCGAGCTGGGATCTCGGCAGGCAATTCCACTGTTGCAGGGGCACAGAAACCTGTGCACCGAGCACCAAAAACACTTCGGGGTGGGATTTCTGGATAAAGAAGCAGTAGCACACCTTATGGCCACAATTGATACAACAGAACATACCATTTCGGGGCGCGCTCCCCCTTTCTGCACCACGGGGTCGGCGGATTTTTCAGTCAAGAACGCCTCCAACAAGCAGACTCCACATGCCACCTTAAGATAGTCTGTTGCAACAAAAAGTGTTCGATGTTTTTGGTTTTGACATGTTTTGACGCCGTGTTACACCGTTTCGCGTGCTGTTTTTTGGCGGGGGTGTTATTTGTATACCCATTTTCTCCGCCGCACCACAGAAATGTCCGTCGCTTGTAATTCCCAAGAACTATGTTTTCCTCAAAACAATCACAACAAAGACATATCAAGGGAGATGTAGACCCTTGGTCTCCGGCCTTTACGGGAAGTTGCAGTTGGGCGTCTCTGTAAGATGGCTCAGGGAGGAGTCTTGCCCGCCAGGGAGAGAGAGAGAGAGAGAGAGATGGAGAGATGTAGGTATCGTACATCGGCATGCGGTATGTCTCACAAGTCTATCAGAGCTTGAGACCTTCAACTTCGCCCCTACCACTTCAACGTTCATAAGGCCAACTTCCCACACTGAGGACAGTTCTAACTCAGTTTCCAGCTCATCCAAGAATCAACCATGCAGCGACTTCTTCACCCACCCATGCAGCGACTTCCCAACACTCACAGCAGACCGAGGATGATCCCTGGCACTGATGAGCCCTTGGGCCCGCTGGGCGGCGCAGCGCAGCTCCTGCGGCAGCCGCGCTACTTCCTCAACGCCTGCGGCGAGACGCTCGCGTGGATCGACGAGGGCAAGCTGCCCGAGGAGAATGTGCGCCGCCCCGGGGCCGCGGAGGGGAGCTTCGGGAGACCGGAAGGCACTGAGTTGCCCGCATAGGTTTTTAGTTATTGAATATTGCTCAACATCATGTACAGGTTAAGATAGAATGGTTCTGTGGAATTTCACGTGCAGGGCATTGGGTTCCTGTTATTTTTTTGAAACCTTGAGTGTCCTTGAGTTGAATTTTTGTGCGTAGGGCCAAAGAGAACTTTTTGATCGACAATATGGTTGACATCTAATTGAATGGCAATACATACTCTCTATGGCTGTTAGGTTTTGCTGAATTCTGTTGGTAAGGCATTGAACTCATTTTGTTAAGTTCCACATGGAAGGCGCTGGGCTTCCCGCGGTTTCTACAATAGTCTTGTTGAATTCCAGATGCGGGGGCCAATGGTTTCACTATATCATTTTTTGAGTTCCATGCCAAGAGCATTGGGTTTCCTATATAGTTTTACAATGGTTTTGTTTTGTTTTGTTGAATGAACCCTATTGAAGGACAAAGGGGCTGCCTGTTGTTTTTGCAAGGGAGGCATCAAAAGCAAATCCGAGACCCTAAACTAATACAGGACTATGGGATCAGCTTGTCGGAAGCTGACAAAATGACCAGCTTGCAATATTGTATCGAAGACAATGTTGTTTCTTCCACTGGAATAATTGTTGGGAGATGATGGAAGGGTATCCACACTTGATGGGCTTCATCAAAAGGGAGCAAAAACATGGGCAACAAAATCCTTCAAGACTTCCACATTCCGGTCATTCCTTCCACACCACTCCACACACACACACACTCTCACACATCCCAACAAACCTTGGCCTTTTTGTTAAACTAGTTAACAACCACGTCACACACCCACACAGATCTTCAGTACCTCCCAGCCTTCCTCCCCCACCCCTCCCTCACACCCTTTGCCCCGTTAAATTTCTCCAAAAGGTTAGGCAAACAAATACATTAATTAAACATAACAAAACTATATAATATGTCAAATAGGTCTCTCAAAAAAAATGATTCAGCAATGTTTTGCAGAAACAACAGGGACAGCAAGTCAATTTGTCGAAACAACCATGGAAAAACAACTTGTAGCACATGGTGCAACATGTAAAATAAAAAACACTCGCAATGCCCTTTGCATGGTCTTCAGCAACACCAGTTTAAGGACCACAGGAGGCCCCATGGCCTCCAAATTGAATTAAAGTCATAAACAATGTCTAACAAAAAAACTAGCTAAAACCCAATGCCAACCACTCGGGCTCACCACGTGGAATTCAACAATTATGAGAAGCCCAATGCCTTCGGTTCTCAGAAAAGGCAAAAACCATGGGCAACCCGATGCCACCGGCACATTGGGATCCCCACCACCAACCAACCAACCACGATCAGCACTGCGAATGACTTGCAGACCGCTATAGGGGTTCCTTCCTTCCTACGTCGTGGCCTTCAAGTCGCTTCCTATGGTTTCCTACCCTAGGGATCCAGTCGTACCTCCTCAGAAGGCACTTGGACCCTCAAAACCCACATAAGAGTATCTCCAATCACCTTCTGAGAAGGTACGACTAGGGCTATACCCACCCAGGGCTGCCCCGCGCAGGTGGAGGCAGCCCGTGCCGTGCGGGATGCCTTGCCTTTGAGCGCCACCGCAGTGCGTGCCGCGGTGCCATGCGGCGCAGCGGCCGGGCAGCTGTGCGAGTGGGTGATGGCGATGCTCGGCGGAATCCGACGAACCAGCACTTCCGACGTTAAACGACCAGCACCTGGCCGTCGCGGGGTTACCTGGCTGGTGCCCCCGGACCCAATCCGGCAAAACCTCAGGATACCCCCGTTCAAGGTCGGAGGTTGTTCAATCCAAATGAGGAGGGTTTTCTTGATCAAGAGTCTACACTAGTGCGGGGTGGCTTGTGTGGACCCATCCGATGAGTGGATCATGAAAATGGGCCATCTTACTTTTAAGCATCGAATCGCTGGACAGTTTGTTGTTTTGTTCTTTCGGTAATGGCTTTGTTGTAGGGTAGGTCGGGTAGCTGTATGTAGTATATTTATTACATATTTACGTATGAGATTTTATGATCATCAATGATACGTCAGTTTAATCACGTTGATTGTTGCAACTAGTAGAACATGAAACTTCAGTTCAATTGACATGTTCTGCTTTTTTGCCATCCATTTGCTGGGAACATGGCTTTCTGTGGGTCCACGTCGCGCGGTGGCCGCGCCACGGAAGCCACGCGTGTCGCGGCACAGATCGACACGTCCAGGATTTTCGCCTACTTCGATGCCGTCGAAAACTGGGAGCCCTGAGCTGAGAGAAAACGGGCCACCCGCCGACCAGCCATGAAGAGGTCGTGCACTGTTTAACGGGAGGAGGAGGGGAGGAGGAGAGACCCGTGATGATTAGTATAGGTGAAGGGGCAGCGGTTGTCCAGGTGAGCCAGATGTAGGAACCTGGGCTGCAAACAGAGAAAAACATAGTAGAACACCAGTGACGTATGACTCTTACTGTAATCTTTCGGGCCGTTTTCCAGGGTTGGATGCCAATCAGATGATACCAGAGGGAACGAGAACGAGACCTTTCGAGAATATGATCCAATCCAACTCTCTCTCTCTCTCTCTTTATCTCCCCTTGGAGCTTTTTGCTTACTGACAGCATTTTTGCTTACTGACAGCAGACACTAGCCACGCGAAGCGTCGGCAAAAAAGACATCGGTGTGTGCTGACTGGGAGTCCGTTGCGTCGGGTAGTACACGATGGAATGGACGCACACGAATGCAAAACAAATGTCCACTGAATTTTCAGGTTGTGGAACTTTTGCGTTGCACGTGGATGTCCCAACTAGAACTACCTCCTTTTGGTTTTGCAAATTAACTTTACTAGATATTTAGCGGCTAGATTCGAGCCTTTCAGCCTTTCAACCAGCCATCGCACCACGGCGGTGGCAGCTGATAGGGGAGAGTTTAGGGTCATGTACAATGGTCATTTGGTTACGGCGTCGCTGTGGCAAGGCGGATCAAACAATCATCTCGAACAAGATTTGGAGAATTGCCAGCCAGCGATTCTAGCACTTGGTGATGCACACAATTGAAACCAGGCCAGGCAGGTTGACAGCAAGTCAGACCGGGACACCTTGGCAGTTGTGTTCTACCTAGGTTCGTTACATTCAGAGGTTGGGAATACCACCTTGCCACATCCATCACTCACCAAGTGGAGTCGCCTTTCTTCAGCAGTCTACCCCAGCTCAAATGCCGCCGTGCCCTTAGGCCGCTTAGGCCCTTCGACTGAAAGCATCACACACCTCTTTAACCTCTTCAATCCGAACATTCAGTCTACTCACCGGGCCTTAGTGTCTTTCGCCCTCCATGGCCTTGCCGGATGTGACAGGCACGGCTCGCGAACAGCCGCATGTGTGGCGCCCGCCCACGGGCGTGGAAGCGCTATTGACGTGGATTGACATGCTAGCAAAATTGGAAGCCTTGAATATCCAATGCCCAGCGCAGAAACCCAAGTGTTTCTGTAAATCCCATTGATGATTGAACAGCCTTGCGGAACAATGTCCCAGTTTTGCTCAAGAACTGAGGTGATCCTCCAAGTCTGGGGTTCCACCCAAGTTACTTGAAAGAAACATGATGAAACATGTATTGTGCTGCTTCTTTAGCTTGTTTATTTGCTTAGTGATTTCTTCTCTCAAACAAGTAACATACATATAGAGTCGCAGCTTTCTTTGTGAGTATGTACCTCAATTCCACCTGAGAATGCCCCTGCCTTTCCCGGTTGAACATGAAAACGAGCCAACCCACGGTGAAAAACGCCGTTCGTCAGGCGATGCCATGCGGCGCTTGGGTCGTCTGAGCGCCTGCGGCCAAGCCTTACAGGAGATCTTGGCCACGGCGGGCGGGGGGGGCGTCACGTCCTGGGCGGGTGGCAACGGGTGGTTCTTTTCGAAGGTTTTAATGTGTTCATGTTTATATGTGGGACTTTGGTATTTAAACAACATGGGAAGGGCTCTCAGGCACGATTTTTTGGGAAGAAGGAATGTAGACCAGTCTAGCCAGCCAGGGCTGGGGGATCTTACTATTGAAATGCACACCTCTGAACATGCGTATCACATGATGCGCCGCACATCATCATTGAATGCGTCCACTCTCGTCAAATCATGACTTGGATCTGAACACAGAAACAATTTCCAGGTACCTTGGTGTGTCTTCTTGGGAATGCCCGGGCTGCGGTTGCGGAACATGATTCATCATCTGCCCCAAGCAGGTCCAGGAGATACACTGCAGGCCTAGCCATGGTTGTGATGAGCGGGACAAATGTTTGTAGACTGTTGATGAGATGATTTATCAAAACCCCCCACATACACTAAGGGTGTAAAACCGCTCTGATTTTTATGTTAAATCAACCGTCTCCATTGGGGTATTTACGATCACAACTGTTTGAGACGAGGTCATCGCAGACCAGGTCCAATCCTGGATTTTCCTGGCTGGTCGGATGGTCCTGGGTTGGTCGGAGGGTCCCTGGGTGTTATGCCAATGCATGGTTCTTTGACACCCTTCCGGTGTATGTGAACCGGCGTCGTTCACCACCGATCCATCGACGCCCCACCGTCCGTCAACGCGCGCCTCTCTCGCCTCGGCGGCGCAGATTCCTCCCACACCGCTGGAAACGGGCGGCCAGGCCGGATGGACTGAGGAATGGGATTCTTTTTCAATGGGCACGGATGGATGGACTGAGGGCAGTTGCTTCATCAAAGCACACGGCGGGTGCTCGCTCATGGCGGATGCTCGTTTGGATGATGTGAGGAGGGTTGCTCGCTCATAGCTATATGTGTGTGTATCAGTATGTGTATCATCATCAGAATCAAACGAAAGGAACATGTGGAAAACCAGCAAGAAAATATACATCCAGACTACTGTAAACACAAACAGGTGGAAAGTTCAGTGATACAATGAGTGGGCAGTGAAACATGGAACTTGGAGGTGGTGTTTGCTGGCCCTTACATAGTGGAGAACCTGCAAAACCATGCGACACCTGTTTGTTCATGTGTTTTGGGCGGATGGGTCAAACCCCCATGATCGCTACAGAAGAAGGTTAAGCTCAGTTTTCCAGAGAAACGGCCCTCCCTCGGAGTCCCGTCGGTCGATCGTGGGGACACTTAAGTGGACCCTTTGAACCCGTACAGAGATGTAGGGGCTTCACATGTGTTTTCATCATCGTCTACCTAGAGCCTAGAACCTGATTGACCCCTGTTCTGGAGCCAAAACATGGTGTTTCTTCCTATCAAAACAGAGATCACATGGGTTCTAGCTAGATTCTAGATGTAGTGACGAGTTGTTCCTTTTTTTTTGCGAACCGCGAGTCGTGTTGGATGCCCCCCCAGCTGATGCCGCCTCTCTCTCTCTCTCTGTTTGCCTGCGTCTGACAGGCAGAAGCCAATGTGCTTCAGCACCACTTGGGATGCTCCGGGCGGCCCCTTGGACTCCGGAGGGTCGCCGGAGGCGTTTCCGGAACACCCGCCACGGGTTTCCGGCACCGTCCGAGGAGCAACGGAAAGGGGTTTCGGAGGATCACAGGATCACTGAGAGGTCGGCCTGCAACCTAGCATAACCTATAGCCATCATGATCCACTGTTACTGGGAGATATTTGGGATACTGTATGCCCTTGCCAAGTGATTGGTCAATTTAAGATATTGTATAAGCACCATATGAGGAGGTCCAGAACAATCCAAGGGATGATGTCACAAATGCCACTAGTGTTGGCCCCACAAGCTTAGCCCCTCAAGCTTCAAAAGCAGATGCGCACTGGCACCATGCAGCTTGCCTCAATCACTAAAAGATGTTAGTAGCAGTCAGTGTTCCCATGCCGGCGGTATATCACAAACATTTGATCATGTGTTTTTGTCCAGCCTCGATTGACAAAAAGCAGTGCAGGATTCCTGCAGGATGCTGACATGATTTGGCATGTCTTTGTTTTCATGCACCTGCAACGTGCCTGGAGGGTCCTGGGCCTGATCCCGTGGCCTGCTCTCACCAGGTTTCGTGAAGCGCTGCAGATTTGCGCCGAGCTGAAGACGGAGCGCGCGTCAGCGGCCGATGGTCCGTTCGTCGGATGCAAGGCTTTGTCGCAGTGATGTGCGGTGGTTTCCTAAGGATGTTTCAAGCAGAACAAGGCAAGGCGTTCAGTCCGCTCACCAATGGATAGCACTGATAGCTCGAAGAAGTGCTCAAAGTTGGAAAGCCTTGAGGACAGATATTCGCAGAAGATCCTGGCAGACAGGTCTTGTATTTGTTTAGAGGCCGATATGGTACTTTCCAAAACCACCTGGTCTCTTTGGAGCCAGATGGTCTTCTTTCAACCCTGCCCAAGCTGCCAGGAGGCTTCAGAGACCACTGGGCAAGGTTGAAACATCGTCCACGCCTGCAAGGCCCCGCCCCCCCGGAGCCCTCCGAATCGGTCGATGGCCGTTCTTCGGTCAGGAGGGCTTCGTGGCTTGGAGCCCCGATGCGCGAACTGGGACCGGATGGGACCCCGGAGGGCGGAGAGGGGGGG